TCAAACATTTTTATGAATGAGTCACAAATGCTATTACACTAACTTCATAGAAAATGTAATTTTTTGTTATATAAGAGCCATTGCTTACAATAGACTGCATTAACCCCTGTGCCAAAGTCATAGGTTGAAATCCTAACCCTCCAATATGTTGGGCAATCATCAGGTCCTGTGGATAGGGTTCTCATGAGTGATATTTGTGTCCACAGAGCTTTCTTCCTCTTGAGGACATAACAAGAAGAAAATTGTATATGAACCAGGAAGTGGACTCTCAGACACCAAATCTGCCAGTGCCTTGATGTTGTACTCCTCAGCCTTCAGAACTGTGGAAAATAAATTTGTTGTTTAAGTCACCCAGTCTATTATTTTTGCTCCAACAATCCAAACAGAGTAAGGCATTCCTGTCTAAGTTTCCCAGAAATGAACATGTTTTCTGAGGATGGGAAAAAACAAAAGCAGAAAATAAACTATGCCTGTTGGTATTCTGCTGATAGAAACTTTCCTCTAGCTATAAGAACATTAGTGAAGTGGGCTGATTGATAGCCCCTAAAGATATCCTTGAAACCTGTAAATGTTACCTTATTTTTAAAAAATCACCTCCCCAAAGCCCCACTTATGAATGCTTGAGGCTTTAGGGGAGCATACAGATAGAAACTATAATGTGCCATCCTAGCCCTGCAAAAGACTCATGCTGTTTATGCAAAATGCATTTAGTCCATCTCTAAGAATTTCCAAAGTCCTAATAATTTCAACATTGCTGAAAAGTTCAAGTCCAGAGTGAAAAGTCAGAGTGAGGCACAATTGAGACCACCGAGGCAGGCAAAGTCTAAGCAACATGCGATGAGTTTATTGCCATCTGGGTACAGATAGGCCAAGGGCAAGAAGGCCATTGGCATTAAGAGGAGGGTGCTTGTGGTTGACATGGGGCATTTTAGGTAGGGGAAGGGACACTGGTCAAGAGGGTGGAAAATTTTAGAGTCCCATGAGTGATGGGCGTGGACTGGCTGGTAAACAGTGCAGGGTGAGAGCAGCAGGGCGGCTGCTACCTTCTTGTTATCTCTGTGGTCCCATGGATGTGGGTAGCTGGTCTGCTTGGGTGGAGGTCTGACCTGGTGGAGGGCTGTCACAGAGTCTCTTCTGAGATTTAAAGCAAACTCTTAACTGTGATCCCCTATAAAAATCAGAAGTTGAACACTAGAATATGCAAAGGCACAAGGCAAACATTTCCATTCCAAAAAGGAAGCCGGGCTTGGTGGTGCACACCTGTAATCCCAGCACTTGGGGAGGATGAGGCAGGAGGATCACTGTGAGTTCGAGGCCAGCTTGGGCTACATAGTGAGTTCAAAGCCAACCTGGACTACATAGCAAGACTGTGTCTCAAACCAAAAATAATAATAAAAATAAATTCATCAATTTTTTAAAATACAAAAAGGAGAAATAAAGGGATAGAAAGGAATGGGACCAAAGAAAGACTGAAACATAGCAGGGAAAGCATTAAATCCTATAGTTCCATGTCCAGCACCTTGGGCAAATTGTAGTGAGATGTGAACTCCAAAGGGCTTAGGTGGCCCTGCTCCTATGGGACTGCCCGTGGTTATAGCCCTCATGGCCCCTCTCTTGGGCTGGCTTTGCTCACTCCTTGTGGCTTTCTACATGTAGACATTCCCCATTCCTGTCCTCTCCAACATCCTGAGGTCTCTACTGCACTTTGACTTCCCCCATACAGCTTTACTCACATTGTTTGGCCTCCCAGGCCTTCTGAAATCTGGGTGTAAGCTTCCTTGACTCCACTACTCTTACATTCTGTGTGCACCTTAAACCATCACTGCTGGAACAGTAGCTGAGCCCTTTTGTTTCTTGCTGGTGGTTGTAGAAGCCTCTGCGTGCCCAGATGGCTGAGTACAGTGAACTGTGTCCTGGGGAATCAATTCATATTCTCTAGGGTGCTGCCATTCTAGAGCATGGCCCTGTTGGGCTCTTTTCTCAAAGCAGAGCCTTGTTGGTTCCTCACTTTCCCTCAAGGTATTTTTCCTATGGTCCTATTTCAAAGTACTTGGCTTCTTCTTCTTCCTTCCTCCACCCCCCCACCCCCCACCCCACCCCCCCGCTTCTTTTTAATACTAATCTTTTCAGCAACCAAGTTCTCCTCTGCTCCATCTTTTCAGGCCCCAACTTTACTACAGCATCTTCTCTGGCCAAACTCAAAACTTTAAAAGTCTTTCTTGGGCTGTTTGCTCTTGATTCACAATATTGAGCTGACTAAAAGCCCCCAACAGTACCCAACCACAGCCTGAATGTTTGGGTGCCTTGAAATTTCCTCTGCTAGATTAATTGTCTGCCACCTTCAATCTCAGTGTCCTGCAAAGTCTTTGGACATGAGCAAAATGCAAAGTATAATACACATGGCCTGGCACCTAACTCCCAATGCAGTCTTGTTCCCAATGGAAACCACCTGAGCCCGGCAGGCAGGAAGCAGAGGGTGATTAAGGGAGAAAGGAAGGAGAGGTACCCTTCCAGGCCATACTCACCTCCTCCAACCACGCTCTGCCTCCCATATCACGTTTAGCTATGAACTAATCTACTGATGAGTATCATGCCTCTATGATCCAATCACCACCCTCATGACCACATGAGGCTTTGGGGGTCATCCAAGTATAAACCATAACAACTGGGGATTGAAGCCAGGGTCTTCACACTGAGCCACATCCCCAGTCCTTTTGGGTTTTTTGTTGGTTTTTTTTTGGTACCGGGGGTCTAACTTGGGTTCTTGTGCTTGCAAGGCAGGCGGCGGAACCACTGAGCTAAATCCCCGGCCCCTTTTTGGTTTTTTTAAATCTGCCTTTCTTTTCTTTTCTTCCTCCCTCCCTTCCTTTCTTTTTCTTTCTGTTTGTTTGTTTCTTACTTTCTTTTTGAAACAGGGTCTCACTAAGATGCCCAGGCTTGGCTTGAATTTGCCATCCTCCTGCCTCAGCCTCCCAGAGTGCTGGGATTACATGTGTGTGCCACCATACCTAGTTTCTACCTTTTTTCATCTTTTTCTTTTGAACTCTAATTTTTTAGTATGTTCTAATATTTGATTCTATGTGAATGGTGGTTTTAGGTTGTCTTTTTGTAGGAGGTGAGATTGGACTTACAAAATCTGTTAATGTCATTGCCTTTATGTATTTATGTTTGGGGGGTGGTTTTTGGTACCAGGGATCAAACTTGGGACCTTGCACTTGCAAGGCAGGTGGCAAAACCACTGAGCTAAATCCCTGGCCCTATCATTGCCTTTAGATGAGTAATATTGCTGCATCTTGATGGAAGTGCTCAACCCATTGTGTAGCCACTTGGTTTAGAGATTGCTAGATTGATGGGAACTAGACAATACTTGCCCTGCGGGATTTATTTCCAAAATTACTAGTAAATAGAATACATGATTTCTTGCAAAAGTGACTACCTTTATGTAAAGAACACTCATATGCCCAAGATTTTTCTTTGTGGCCAGGCCATTCATGTTATAGTGTTATTTTCATTACTCAGTGTATTTTTTCAAAGTTCCAGTAAGATGATTCTTTGACCTACGTAGTCTATTAATGACAGTCCTGGAAAGGGCTAATATCTGTTTTTAAGAATCAGAAATCCTGTTTCAACAAACATATGCATTCTTTAAAAAAAAAAACACAAAAAACCTGGATTTTGCAAAATCAGACTAAAAACTGAATTTTGGGGAAATAGGTCTAGAGCAAGCCGCTCAAATTCTATGCAGTGCTGTAAGAAGAGAACTAATACAGACAATAATGATTCTTATTTTTTAAATTAGCACTTTGAATCTACATTGCATCTGCACCCACCTTCACAGCTGGTCAGTCTTAGCAGCCTCAGAGCCTCTGGCACATGCTGCCTCTTTTGAGATGATATTATGAGAGGAGTAGAGATCATCTTCACTGAGGAAACAAAGGCTTCTGGGTCTAAATGATTGGCATTGCTATAGCTTGGATCTGGACTGTCCTGCAAAGACCCATGGATTAAAGGCCTGGTCACTAGTTCATGGCACTATTGGGATGTGATGCAACTTTAGGAGGTGGGGCCTAGAGGGAGGGCTTCCCGTCCTTTAAAGGGATAGTGGGACTCGAGTCCTTCTTCCTATCCTTCTCTTTTGCTTCCTTGCTATGAGGATATTGTGCAGGAATGATCCTGTTAACTCTATCTTCTTATTGGCACTTTAAGAAATACATAAAAGTGGAAATACTGAATACATCAATAGACATTGCATTTGGATGCATGTAAACGGAAAGCTAACCACACAACATCTTTACCAAGTAGAGATTTTTTTTTCTTCCACATGTAACCATTCGAAGGTGAGAACCAGGCTGCTGCAGCTGCTCAAGGGACCCACATTCCTCTGAGCTTCTTCTACCTTTGCTAGGTTGTTTGCTTTCATCTTCCTGGTACAAGGTGAATCCTCCACTGTCTAGCATCATGTCCATGAGGAGGCAGAAAGAGGAAAAGGATAATGAACATGTTTCCAGAAGCTCCCCAAGCCACTGTTTATAGAGTCAAGAATTGGCCAAAACCATATTATATGGGTCCCCAACTAAGAGAGACTGGGAGTGCAATTCTTCTTTATTTATTCTTTTTTTAATTTTAAAGATGGGGGAAATTTTTACTAAGTCTAAGAATCAAAGATTACTTGGTATGGTTTTGATTACATGCAGAATTTGATGGTTAGAAATAAAATCTATGTAGGTTCTTAGAGTAATAATATCTTAGACCTTTGCAAATCTCCAGTTTCCATGGATTTAATGAACCAGATAGATAATTGGTGGTGTCTGCCCATAGCCCATTTTCTGTGAGATGAATTTTCTTGCTCATGAGATCTATGTGGAAAACAGCATGTTCAGAAATGGGAGTCTTCTCAGTGTGCTCTTCCCTGGACAGGAACTCACCAAGGCCCCAACAGTGGATCATCAAATCTCATCAGTTTCACTTCGGAAAGGTCTTTGATTCCTCACTTTGCTTTCATTAAACACCTGATTATAGAATCACAGTTATCCCCTTGCCTGATTTCAATTTTGGTTGAGAAGTGACCACTGGATGGCTGGGGATTTACTAGAAAACTGGCACACCAGGTTCCATTCTAAAAACATCAAGTGGTTTCCCAGGACAACAGTCTTCCCTGACTTTATCTTCTGCTTCGGAGGCAAACTTGACTTCTATGTGTTCTAGCTCAAGGGAATTAGTCAGGTCGACTATATTTTCCATAAGCATTGCCTGTTCATCAAATTCTAATTGCAAATCCAGAACACGAGGCCCCATCTTCTCCACATTTTCCTTAACCATAGCAACAAATGGCATCACTTTCTTCATACATTTCTTCAATTCTGGCATATTACCTAGTTCACTAGCAATGACTGTTATCAGGCAATCTTCCACTGTTGGCCTCAAAGTGGTTACACAGAACTGACATAGTAGTGTGCTGCCAAGGAGGGTAGTCTTTGACACGTAGATGGTGCAGTGTGAGGGCCTCTGAGGTGGCTGCTTGTCAGTCTTCTTCCCTTTATCTGGCATCATATAATTCTTGAGTCGTAATCTAAGGTCATGTGCTACTTCCATGAGGTACTGTGAGGAACAAATCAAGATTTCATCCACAGGACCTGCCACAGGCCATGAAGCATTCATAATTGAGTCAGACTTCCCCAGGAGTGTCCAGATGTGCTCACATAAGTGTGGACAGAATGGAGCCAAGAGAAGGGTCTGAACTTCAATAAATTGAAACACGAGTTCTCTGTGCATCCCTTCTATTGCCAGTTCACGGTACTTATCTTTCACGGCCTGAAACTCAAAAAACCCTGTTTTCAAAGCTTCTTTAAACATCATTTTTTCATAGATTTGCTATGTTTTTATAATTCCTGCATTCATTTCACTGGCAAAAACTCTATCATTGAAAGTGCTGGCAGGACCACTTCTTAGGCTGTTCCAGTTGGCAACCATTTCTTTCACCCATTCCACTCAGGTGTACAGACAGAGAATACCTGCATCTGCCATGGCTTCCACAGAGCCAGGCTCATTCCATCGGCTGAAAATTTGTCGACAGCTTGGTCAAAGTGAGGAAGTTGCCTGTAGATTTTGACATCTTCTCAGAGTTGAGGAGGAGATGTCCATTTGCTCTCACAGCTTTGGGCCATTTGTCACTTTGTCCACATAGCCACAAGATTATGAAGATAATATGAAAGATGATTTGGAATAAGATCCTTGCCAAGACTAGAAGATCCACTGGATACCAGAATTCAAACTCCTGCTTTAACTGATCTAATTTTTCCTTTGAGATCTGAGTCTTAGGAAATGGAGCATCCTTGAAGAAAATATAGTCTCAAACTTCCTTAGTCATCTGTTGTGATCTTATCCCCAGTGGGGACTCTGCCTATCCACACAAGTCACCCCCCTGTAACAGGTGTGCAACCGTGTAAAAAGCCATGTAAATCATAGAGTCCAAGAGATATTGCTCATCCTAAGCCATAAGTTCTGGAGCAAGCATGTTCTTGTATCCAATCTAAGGAAGCTTCAAAATTCCTCCTGGTCTCCTCACAGAATGGCTCCCATTCTTGAAGCACTGGGATGTCTGTTTTTTCCAGTTCTCTTCTCCATAATCCAAGTACCATTGGTCACACAGAGCCACCACACATTCATCTGAAGACCTGGACATTACTTGTTTCTCTGGTTCCATGTAAATATATGCATCTCCAGCATCAATCATCTTTTTCTGGATAGTCTTCTTTACATCTTGGACTTTCTGTCCTTTAAATCCATCCACCAACATTACACCTTCATAAAATCCTTTTAGATATAATTTCTCCTTTGCTTATGCAAGTTTTTCTCAGTCATTCTGGCTCTAAATTTTCAACTAATCACAAATGGTTATAGCAGAAAGACTTCTAAGACCTGGGATTTCAATGACTGACACCAGCTCAAATGGCAAGACCATGTCATCTCTAATTCCATATTTTGCTTGAAGGGCTTGCTTTTTCTTCAAGTCTCTGAGGGCAGCAATATCATCAGGGGCATCAGAAGGAACGTTTGTGACCACACCAGTGCCTTTATCCTCCTTAATGGTGAGCAGTGGGAGAACATAGATCACATCATAGGAAGTTAAAGGCGCAGAAAGGGATGCACCTAGAATTTCCTCCCCCATTAATTCCTTAACAACAGGCAGCACTCCATTATCTTTGTTGAAGCCTTGGTATGACATATTCCTGGCTGCTCTTTGGGTGCAGATGAAAATATCACCATTCACTATCTCAAATCCAATGTACTTCATATCAGGACGAACCCAGCAGTTTGTCTGTCCAAACATAGTCTCAGGTCTGAGAGTAGCAGCTACTAAGAAGATATTTTTACCTTTGAGGCTACTCAATTTAGATGGATATGGCTCAAGCATTTTTAATTTCAGTAAAGTATATTCCTAAGGTCCAACACCCTCTCAGTTTGTCTGTCATGATCCATGCAAGGCTGTCCATCATTTGGAGAATAAATAGTATACCACTTTCCAAATTTAATTTTGTTTCTTTCTCTTAAAGTTAAAAATTGCCACCTGACAAATGAATCATAATAAGGATTAACATCAGTGGTAATGAAGGAACCATGCCAGTCTACCTTCAAACCTATTCTCTTTAGATCCTGAATAGCCAGTGGTGGGAAATAATCAAGTCAGTATTCTGCTTCAGAAAACTTTACTATCTCTTCATCAGGCAGTCCGAGGGACTGGATAATGCCCCACTGGTATTTAGAAGATCCAGCTTTAGCAGCAGCTTTACTCTTTTTTCCTTTAGCTTTATCCTTAACTACTATATTTTCTGCTTTAACACTGATTTCTTCCTCTTCTTCTTCATCTGGAAAATCAGGGGGGCAAACATACAGTTCAATTTCTCTCTTCAATTTATCAGCACATCAGCACATGCCTTAATAGGCATCCCAGTGTAGTGTAAGCCAAAAGGAAACAGATCACGTTTTCCTTTCAATCTCTGGTATCCTACTGCAAACTCACACTTGGATAGAGAAAACGTGTGCCCCAAACGAAAGCACCCATTCATATTCAGATATGGGAAGGTTACAAAGTACTTGTCCTTGCTGGGCTGCTTCTCCAGGTCAGATGCATTGACCTAAACACTTTCTCGGTTTCCCATTTCTGTTGGATTTCTTTCTCAGCCTTCCTTAAAAAGTCTGCTTTGGCTGTTCCTTTTCTTTCCGCCATGACTACACCAAGCAGACTGTTTGGTTACTCTTGAGATGAGGACTCACTATGTTGCCCAGGCTGGATTTGAATTCCTGGGCTCATGAGATCCTCTTCTCTTTGCCTCCCAAGTACTTGTGACTTTAGGTGCCTGGCTTCAGTATTTTGATTGGCCACACTGTGGCCAGAACAAAATTGGATTCTGTGAGTAAAGACAATGAGGAGACTGGCTATTGGGCTAGCAACTTGCAATGGTTGCCACATTGGCATAATATGTATTTTAAAGATATTAATTATAAATTTTATATTTATTGAACTCTGAAACTTCTTAGAAAGGTTTAGGGCAGAAGTTCACAGGAAACAATTATCCTCTGTAAGAAAATTTGAAAGAATACTACCTCAAAAATTGCTGGAATACATTCTGTAGATTGTCTTGACTAATATTAACAAAGGACTTAGAATAATGTACCAAAAAGACTCCAGGAATATATACAGCTTTAAAAACAGAACAACAAACACAAATTTCTATCATTTGCATTTATCCACAACTCTTCATTTATGAAATATATTAAACTAGATCAAAATACATAAGGCATGTAAATCAAATTTAACTCTTTACCAGAGTAAAACTGCCAATCTGGGTAAAATATATCAATCCCTGAAAACATTATTTAAAGTGAACTGTTGTACAGCACTGCATTTGATTTCAGCAGGGCTCAGTTTAAGTACAATTCTTCCAGGTACTGGTTAGCACCTGTGGAAGATGCAGTTTCTATCCAGGGTCTGCTCCCACCTTTCCTTGTAGCTCCCCAACCTTCCTCAGGTATCCACTCTCCACATATAGCCTCTGTCCATTCAAAGAAGCTGACTCAATCCCCAGGGTCCTGGGTGTTCATTTGGCTTTTCCCAGCAATTTGGTCAGGCATGGGCAGGCAGTAGCCAATACAGTATAAATGAGAATTCTAACTAGACCTGAATGTTAAAAAATTATTGGCTGGGGATTTAGCTCAGTGGTGCTGTGCCTGCCTCACAAGCGCAAGGTCCTGAGTTTGATCCCTGGTACCTCCCAGCAAAAATTACTTAACTGTCCCAAGTCTCAGTGTTCTCATCTATAAAATGGGGGTGAATGGGGATGATATTATCTTATCTATCCAACATAGTCACTGTAAAAGTGCTTTTTAATTTTATAAATAGAATATATTCAGAAGGTAGCAAAAGAAATAAAAAGTTGAATTGCTTGGTGCATTTCCTATACACCCAGATTCTTGCAAATTAGGATTAGTTGCATTGTGAATGTATGCACTTATTTGTTTGGTCACTCCACCACTGTTTCCTGGGCGCCCACTGTGTACCAGGCATGATAGCAGTTGCTGGGGAGCAGTGATTGGCACCATGGCCACGGGCCCTGTCCTTGTGGAGTTAAGGCTTCCAGTGATGCTGCTGCAATGCCCAAAACACATGACACTTACAGAGTCACCCCAGAAGCAGTTTCTGAGCAATCCAAGGACTCCAGTCTCATCATTTCACTGTTAAGCTTTTTTTTTTTCTAACCAGCGCCATTGATTAGTTTGTTTATATATCTTATCCACTAGACTTGATATCAAATTACTTTCGTCAGTCTTTAAAAATTAATCTGTTCTCCAATACAAAAAGAAAAAATCAATGAAGCCAAGAGTTGGTTCTTAAAAGAATAAAAAAAATTGACAAACCCTTAGCCAACCTTATCAGAAAAAGGAAAGAAGAAGCCCAAATCCATGCAATTAGGAATGAAAAGGATGAAATTACAATGGACTCAGCAGAAATAGAGAGGATCATCAATACCTACTTTGAGAACCTATATGCCAATAAGATGGAAAACACAGAAGAAATGGACAGATTCCTAGATATGTATGAATTACCAAAGTTGAATGAAGAAGACCTAAAAATTC